CTCTTCCTCTCAAATGAATAAATATTTTTAAAAAATGAAATACTCCTATGATGAAACTTTTCAAAACATGTGCACTAAAAGACAAAACGTGTCTTTTCTTCAGACATTGTAATTCTTGTTACACCTGAGTTACACAGATTAAGGGTCCTAATTTTTATGAATGCCAGCCTTCTCCTAGCACAGTCATCTACTTCGATGTACTATTTTCTCAAATTGATTAATTAGTATTAGCTTAAATAATTAATTTAACAATGAGCTCTGAAACCTCAACAATGCATTTAATCATTTAAAATGTGTGTGCCATACTCAACCTAAGTGTTTCATTGATCTATTCTCCCAGATTTGCACAGCCTCTTTTACATAAAATATTCATTCTTATTAAGTTGTCCCAGACTATTACAGCATTCTTTATGTTAAAAAAATTAGTCAATGACAAAAAACATAAATTTGGTACGTGAGAATAATCTGTAACCTTCTACTTTTTATATGTCCTACACCATCTGCAGTCAATTAAGTGATTCCCAGGTGTTCACAGTAATTGCTTTAACGCAAGATTACATGTCACTTTAGGGGTCATTAAATATTTATTACACAACCCTCATCTACATTTTTCTCCATTTATTTAGGGACAAAACATGCTGATGTTTAGTTTTGACAAAAATAAACTTATTGGACTTGTTGAATTAATTTGTGGATTAAACGTCATTAAAATATCTTTTTATAAGCCAAAATTTGGTGAAATAATAAGAATAATGATGATGATCTAGTTGTGCTTATTTACATTCCTCATTTTAAGTGAAAAATATGTACTTATAATTTGTGGCTAAGATGTAAAAAAATCAAATCAGACATCATTTTACAGGACTAGTGAATAGTGGGGAATTTAATGGGCCAGAAGATTCATTAACAAATTTCTTCTCTAAAGGTAAAATAGAGTTTACATTCAGGAAACAACTACGGAGATAATCTAGCATAATACTCATTTCATAGATAAGAAAGTAAAACCAAGAAGTTCGACCAATTGTACAGAATTCGTTCCATACAGATCTAATGAAAATTACAATAATTAGAATATACTAAAGTGTTCCAATATATGTGAAGTTTTCCAAGTCCTTCACATCTGTTCACTTACTCAATTCTCACATCTACTGTATGAGAGGGACACTCATGTTATCTGCATGAAAGCCTGGAGTATGGAGGATGGTCTGAGCAACCCGGTCATAGTACTGGGAAGTGCCAGGTCTGAGATTTAGCTGGCTCCAGAATCCATGCTCTTAACTATTAAAATATAATTCCTTTCTAAAACTACTTTCTTACTAAAGTATGATTTCTAGGTGAATATATTCTTCTAGAACATTTTGATACATAAATCACATGATTATCTTCATAATATCAGTGTTAGTGTCAAATCCACATATTCCGGTGTTTGAAAATAAATTTCACTGAGCTTATGTTCAGTGTTGTTCAGATGTTGTTTAGTTATCTATAACATCTCTTAATTGTCATAATTCAAAGTGCCTTTCTAGCAAGAATGTTTTGTGACAGGCATTGTGAAATCTTTGGATATATAGATTAATTTGTGGAACATTAAAAAATTCTCATGGCTTAATCAATCTAATAAACACTATTGTAAAATAAATTCTTAATAGTAACATAGTTATTGTTAAAATTATGTGATTAAATTATGTGATTCACTTTAGAGATTATGTGATTTTATTCATTGCTTGCATTACTGAAGGTTTATTTTACCGTGATAGGTGACAGCAAATATTTTTAGAAAAGCTTCCAGTCTCTAATTACCTTGTAGCATATTGCACTGAATAAAATGCTGATGTCTCAATCAATTCTTCAGTGTGTAGTCGCTGACTCAAAATGTTTATTTAAGTGTTATGCCAGCTTTTTTTCTAAGTACTTTCCTTACACCAATTCTATGGGGTAGCCCATGTGCTCTGTGTGTGTGTGTGTGTGTGTGTGTGTGCACGCCTGTCTGCCTGTTTTGGATATTAGAAATATATGGAGGTGGCCAGAGGGGCATTGACACAGTTAACAGTCTTAGGATCTTCAGTTTTTACTAAAGGTTACCAATTTTATCATCAGTTTTCTTCACTTCTGAACTGAGGAGACCCGGCCACAAACACTAACATTTTGAGTTCTCACTTCATCTGACTAATGACAAGCCCAGGTGAAAGTATACATCAGAAAGAATACTTAATAAGCATATCAGCCTAAATTTTTATCCCTGAATAAAACTGAACTGGCAAACATGTTCTATTCCTTGCTTCACAATTACTTTATCCATGCACATTGTGGTCACGCTCTGAGCTTTCCTTAAAGCACCAGACCATAGGGGCGCCTGGGTGGCTCAATGGGTTAAGCCTCTGCCTTCAGCTCAGGTCATGATCCCAGGGTGCTGGGATTGAGCCCCGCATCGGGCTCTCTGCTCAGCGGGGAGCCTGCTTCCTTCTCTCTCTCTGCCTGCCTCTCTGCCTACTTGTGATCTCTCCGTCCAATAAATAAATAAAATCTTTAAAAAAAAAATAAAGCACCAGACCATAGTGTTGGCAGGCTGCTGCTTCTTTGGATGGAGAGTTGCTAAAAATAGTGTACACTATATCATCCAGTTTTCTTTCTATTAAACAACATGTCCATTTTGTTCAGGGTATGTGAGAGGAAAACTCTGGTTTTCCATAAAAAGTTCAGATGTTTCTCCTTAAACATAGTAGGATCATGTCATTAGTCACATTTCTTTTTACATCTTTACCACAAGGAAGGTCAATGTGGTTTAATTAATCATTATATAGGATACAAATAGCTTTCATATGGAGAAAGAATGTATTACTTTTTATGTAATTATATATATATGTACATTTAAATTTTTTATCTCTTTATAAACTTGCGGTATTTTAAAAAATGGTTGTTTCATCATATGGACTTTATTATTAGTGTATATTGACTCAAAATCCTGAGAAAACAAATCAAAGAAAAATATTCTCATTGAAAAATCTTAGTGCCAAATTGTTCTCGTAAAGCATATCTTCTCTTATCATTAAAAAACCCAAATTTGAGTGTATATAGTTTTTTGACGGCCGCTAGAAAAGGCAGAGAACAGTAAAGATGCACACCTGCCGTTCAGTACTCCCACTCCCTGACTGGCCGTTTTGTAAATTCCCTTGGGCAATGAAGGCAAGCCCCTCAGACCTCAGAAGGAGTCAAAAAAAGTCAACTCTGCTGCAGAAGCTGTCTCTAATTGTTTTTATTTTATGTGGCATTTAATCCTCAGAATATAAATTGTGAAAAGCAAACCAGTACTAAGTGATAATATCATTTTGTTGAATTTCTTGCAAATGACACTGTCTTATTACCATATAGTAAAACTTAAGGCATCCGTGACTCTCAGCTTTGAAGAAGTAATGAAGACAGAAAAATGAGAAATTACGGATTGTAATTAAGGTTTCTATATAATTTGGATATGTCACTGATTCTTGATAAATGGAATAAATATATCCAAGATGAGTCAATGATTTTGACAATAAAAATTATTGTCATGAATTTATTCTCCAAAATTTACTGAGCCATTAAACAAGGAGAATTATGATGATATAGGAGATCTTAGATGAAGCATACAATGGTGACTCTAAGCAGATTTTAAAATATTTAGAACAATGACATTCCAATTATTTAATATCCAATTGCTATTAATGTTTTACTGAGATAATGTTACAGATATGGAATTATAGACCTTCTTATCATGCTTACACTACAGGACCACCCAGCAGCTATTTTGGGTTTCCCAAACATGATCACTTGTGACTGAGGGAGACTACAAAAAAAAATATGTAAAACAAAACTAGCCCTATCCATTAATATAACTTCCTGTTCAACTTTTCAGTTTATCCTCCTTTGATTTTTATCCCCCAGTGTTCAATTGATGATGACTAGTGACCAACTTCTATGATGTGAACATTAGATAAAATAAAACTGAATTATTATAAAGTGCAAATATATTTTTGGAAATACACATATGTTAAAATATAAATTGCATTTTTTGCTTCATTAAAGCAAATAACATATCAAAAAGTATTTCATATACCTACAAAGGAAGTAGACACAATCAAATTAATGTTTATAAATCCCTCTTTTCAAATGCCATAGTCTTGTGTAACTTAAAAAGAACTACTAGAAATATACACTCGTGTTAAGGTGCTCATTACATTTTTGTTAAGATAAGGACAACTCATTCCTTGAAAATGTAATTTACTACTTATACTTTTATTTACACACATATATTATCAATATTGGGTAATTTCTCCACAAAAAAGTACAGCATTCTAAAGATATTTTGACAGTTACACACAAATCAAATCTTTTTATTATTTTACATAATTACGACTGACTTATTTGCCTGTTTTCTTATAAAAATTGAGTCATATAATAATGCCATGTAATATGAATCGCTAATTTTTTGACGATATGAGAAAACAATAATATTTTATCATTGGGTTATGTTTATAACTTCTAAAGCCTATAAATCTTAAAATATAAATAATCTCAACACCAGATTTAGAAGTAACTGATAAATGTTAAGATTTACTATATTCAACTAATATGCCATTTCTAATTTACATTAGCAGATAATATCTCTTAGGACATTATTTACCTAAAACAAAGGACATGAAGACCACATGCTATTATATCTCATGTGTTTCATATACACCAGGAAGATATTTGTTAGAAAAATGGTACACTTCATAATTCAAGAGTAATTACAATAACATATATGTAATTGTCTCATAGTGACACATTGACAAGAGTAAGAACTGCCAAATAGAGGAAACTATAATTAGTTTATGAAAAATCAAATCTTATGCAAGATAGATAGGCTGAAAAAAGATGTCTAATTTTATATTAGAGAAATAACAGACTTTCACTTTCCCCAATTTAAACAATCACAAATCTTCAAATGGAGTAAGATGGTAAAAGCAATCTTTATTTGCACTCACCTACTGTCAGCTGTCCAGTTAACTGCCCCATGTGATTTCTCGCATTCACTGTTACATTCCTGTCAGACTGCAAGACCAGTGGACTATCCTGGGAAAGATGTATAAAACAAAGAAATCAAATAAAAATAGAAATAGAGTCAAACTTAATCTCTAAAACTATACTGCATTAGTTTGGGTATGACCAAAATTCTATTCCTTTGTTTTATATTAAGCATTTATTTTAACATCCCAAATATTGACCGGATAATATGAAAAAAATACAAGTGTTCCATCATATCTACTTCACAGGATAGGAATGTTTCCACTTTGGTAAATGGACATTAACTATTTGACAGAATAATTTCCAAGTCTATCAATTGTTGTACGTCCAAGGTGTAGACACTTCCTCCCCTCTCCATCTTCCAGTGGAATATATGTCTACCCATGGAGATGTTTTAAACCCTACCCAAATGAGGAAGTTCCTTTTTAAGATGAGTTTGCAACTTTCCGATCCCAGCTGAAGTGTTATCTCATCAAAATTGCCTCCCCTACAAATTCATTCAATCTCCAAACTCCCAGTCTCCATTTATTTTGTTCAAAGTACTCATCGCAAGGCAAATTTATTTTGCATATGTATGCGTTTACTTGGTTTCATTTGTTTCTGTCACAAAAGGAAATGTCCATGTGACAGGAACCATGACAGTCATGTGTATACAATTATATCCTCACTGCTTAGCATACTGCTTAAAAAAAAAATTTATTAGGTATTTTTTGAGTGGGTAAATAAATTTTCTTATAAATGACGTTTGCTTGTTTGTTTACCTCACATGGGAATGCCCTGCAAATCTCAGAATGGTTTATGTAGGGAGGTATATAAAATATAAGAATATGTTTGCCTGGAAATTTTCATTTAGAATATCTAACCTTGGTTAGATGTTTATTTTTATCACTAATTTAGCACTTAACAGTGAGATAATTTATTGAAGGCTATTACCCACTGCCTTAGGAAGCTGCATAGTGGGCTTCTGCCACCACGGAACTGACAAGTAACTTATACTGCCTACGTTTTCATTTTCATGATCTAAAATATAAGCAGGGTGATCATTTACAAACTGTCCATCCATTCACTCATCAATCAATACTTGATGAGTATTTATTGAGAGCTCGCTGTGCATGCTGTAACGTTCCAGAGGTTTGGGACATTTCAGTGATCGAAACGGAACAATGCCTGCCCTCATGGAGCTTTTAATCCAGGTAAAAAAATTCTATGAAAATCTCTCCCAATACCATCCTCACGATCTAGGTGATATGTCACTTCTATGTCAATGTAAATACACAAGTGCTTTTACATATAAGCTATAAAAAAAACTCTTTCAAGATTAGGATTTGAGATTTGTGATTTGGAGATACATAAGAAGGGTTTTATAAGCTTTTTCTTAAAGCTGATTTGTACCACATCTGCCTAGATACAAAGCACTGGGTAAAGAAGCACACACACACACATACACACACACACACACATACACACATACACTCACACTGTGCTCACATGCTTTCTTTTCAAAGTGGGTTTTGCTACTATGTGTAAACTAAGATGTGTTTTTTTAAATTAATTTTCCACATTTTTTAAAGATTTTATTTATTTATTTGACAGACAGTGGTCACAGGCAGGCAGAGAGGCAGGCAGAGAGAGAGGGGGAAGCAGGCTCCCTATCGAGCAGATAGCCCGACGCAGGGCTCGATCTCAGGACCCTGGGATCATGACCTGAGCAGAAGGCAGAGGCTTTAACCCACTGAGCCACCCAGGCACACCAATTTTCCACATTTTGAAGAATACTTTCATTCTGTAAAGTGAGACTTGGTTGCACAAAAGTCACTATAGTTAATTTCATTCTCTTTCTTACCACAACTCATTTTTTTGTGTCACAAATTGGAAGTGTTATCTATACAATTTCAAAAAATATATCTAGTCCTCTTTCCATAGTTATTTCTATGCTGCAGTAATCTATCTTTGCAAATATCTAATGTATTTTAAATTTATTCTATCTTTCCTTTTAAGCAATGTGTTACAATTCTGTTTACAGTATAGGTCATGGACTAAGGGCTGCAGGCAATCAGATCCCGTGAAGATACTGCACGAAGAAGAGGGTTCTTAAAAGCAGACAAAGGTTCTATTCTAGGATTGTAGAATTAATTACATGTAACTCATGCATTTAAAAAGGGGGTTTTGAATCCAATAAAATTAATATGAATGTAAGAAACAGCTAAAGCCTCTAAAGTAACTTGCAGTTCCAAACACCGTAAAAATACACTGGTTGAATTTTAATTCAGATTGTTTTAATATTTTTATGAAATAACATATACAATTAATGTTTAGATTTTTAAAAGTTGATGATAATATTTGCTTTTATTTGCTTTGCAAACCTAAATTTCTGGGAACTATAGCATAAAAAAGCATAACCATTAATATTGTGCAATTTCAGAACTATGTAAGTATATTAAAATAATTGTAGCCTTACTAAATATTTTAAGATGAGAGAATAGTCCATTATAAAAGGCAATATAAAATTCATCTGATTTAGTAGAGATAGACTTGAGTTAGAAGTGAAAATCTAATCATTATATATCTTTGTTTACAGCACTTCAATCCACTTTTCCCTTACTGTAACCACAGAAATGAGGTTTTCCCCTGGCATTCATCCCTTTTCTTCCCATGAGTCCACTAAATTTCCCCTCAGAATTAAATATTTATATCTAGATTAAGACTTCACCATGATAAAAAATAGCCTTTTTTTTTTTTTACTAAAACTCGAAGCATATAGCTTTCAGGGGTAATGAACAATTCTCTATGCTGCATTCACATGGACATTAATATATTATTGTGTTATACTGACTTGTTAAAAAAATAGACAGGTGAGCTGAATCAAAACAAGTAATTATTGGGGTGTCTGCCTGGCTCAGTTGGAAGAGCATGAAACTCTTGCTCTGGGGGCCATGAGTCTGAGCCCCACTTTGGGTGCATAAGATTAAACAAATAAAGAAAACAAGTAACTATTTTTGTTAAACAAAAGGTAAGTGCATCAGCTTTACTTTGGTTTTTGAATTATGTATCAGGACAGTGACATCTCTGGGGCTTAGAACCATGGCTTACACAGGACATTTTATTTAACACCCACTCAGTACTAATTCAAATATACATATGTGATAAACACATACATGATAAAAATGATAGCAACATCCAAAGAAGATAGAATCCTCAGCAATCTGTAAATCTAATAGTAAACACTTTTTTTAGGGTAAAAATTAGTACCAAGAACTTACCTCTTTCCAAAAAAAGATTGACATTTAAGAACACTTATCTCTCTTTTCTTGTGTTCATCTCTCCAAAGGCTTATGTGTAAAAAAATAATTTCCACTAGGAAATCAACGCTTTCCACTCTCTGCTCTACATTCCTTTCTTACAGTCCTTTGTCTTATGTTCCTATATTCCAAGACTTTGAAGGCTAGTGTCTAATATCAGATATTAAAAGAAACATAGCAGTACTCTCATAGCTTCTTCTTGCTGAGAACATCAAGGGGAGAAACTTACTTGCTAGTCTTATCTCATGGAGGAGAAATAAGACATAAAAATTTTGTGTGAGAGTCAGTAAGTGGGTGGCATATTATTCTGAACAATATAGTAATATAAATATCTTTTCTTTTTGGAGAAAAAAAAAAAAACCTTTCATCTTTTGATTCAAATATCTGTTGTCAAGAACCAGGAAATCTCCTGGCAGGTAAATCACAGTGTTCTGGAGTTGCCTTGCATCTTGACTGTAACTCTAGGAAACCTATCTGCCTTCTTAGCTACTCTTCAGACAAAGCAGGTGGGAGACTCAGTGATACCATTAAGTGGGCCTGAAAGCCCGTTTATGATTCTTTCATGCACACATTTTTTAACGCCAAGGGCCTGCTTGAAACCTTACTAATGGTTTTAGAAAAATTATGCAATATGTCCTTCTGATTTCAATGTTTTTTTCAGAGGCGATGCAAGTGAATAAGGTTAAAAAAAAAAGATTCCTTTCTTCTCATTTTTACTGTCTGTCTTTGTTTATCTTACATATTTACTGATTACCTACAATGTGTCCACCTCTTTGCTAGTTACTGGGTAAAAAACAGAAACAAGGGGGACAAACTTTCTTCTCTTATGGAGTTCATAACCTACCCGATAAAGTAGACAATTCACCACATAAATAGAAAAATAACAACAACAAAAAGCTCAGAGAACGTTACTAGTAGTAAACTGCTGTCATAGAGACTTTTCTCATAAAGTGTAAGTTATATTGATGAGAAGAAACTGTTTTTGTATGCATTTAGGTGTATATAAGAGGCACTTCTTTCTTTCACACCTATTAAGTTCTAGATATAGCGGTCGCAGGAGCAGCTAGTGCCTACTGGCACTTATTCATGCCAGACTTTGTTCTAAACACTTTACATGTATGAGCTCATCTCAGTAGCTTAAAATAAAACCACCCATGAAAGAATCAAAAAATAAACTGGTTGCAAGACAGACAGTGCACCCCCTGTTTGAGCTCAAGTAGCGAGTCTGCCAAAAACTTTCTGCTTCACTTGGCAAGTCACTCAACATCTCTGAACCATAACTGCTTCATCTGCAAACGGGGTAATAATACATAATTTGCGGGCTTTTATGAAGAATTAATGAGATGATATATACAAAATGCTTAGATTAGTAGCTAGCCTTTGCTAAAGGCACTGTTAGTGTTTTGCTTTTATTTATTCCTCACTGTAATTATAGTATTCTACTAATAACAGTGCTTAGCTATCGTCATTTCTATTTTACAAATGAATAAATTCCAGCAAAGAAAGTATAAGTCACTTGCTCTAAATCACACAGGTAATAAATGACAGAGCAAATATCGGAACCTAGCAATTTGGGTCTAGAATCTCCCTTGTTAACCACTGTGACATACTGCCTCTCTGGTGGTGATTCAGTTCTAGACTTTCTACAATGTCAGATTAAAATGTGAGAATAAATTTTAAAAATGAAGAAAGTATAATTTAAAATTAAAAGAACAATCTAGGGCCGCCTGGGTGGCTCAGTGGTTTAAG